TCAGCCAGCCTTCCTGTAGTTCTGGATGATGTCCGTTTTGTCTTTTTGTTGTATTTTTGAAGTTGTTGTGGGAGGCAGCAATTTCCCGGTATTTACCTATGCCACCATCTTAGTTTCTCTCTTCAGGTTTCTCACTGCCAGAAGCATCTTACTTCAGTGGAACTGGGGCTTAAATCATCTTGGTGATTTGTGGAACTGCCTTTCCTGTCAACCTTTCCATCTCCTGGCATCAAGAACATGGAAATATTTTGAATCTCTATAACATAACTAGGGGGGAGCGGTCCTTCAGCCCGGCCTGCACCCACCTGCGCCCTCTTGCAGTCCAGGAGCCCTCGAGGGATGTCCAACTGATGGCTTAGGCCTGCTCCCTGGAGTCAGACATCCTTAGCACTGCCACGGAGGCAGGAGAGGCTCCTGCCTCTGCCGCTGCGCGTGTCAGCCATGAGCCTGGCTCAGTGCTTCTGGCTGAGCAGCACTCCCACAGCACACTGACCACCAGGAGGCAGACGCTCCTGCATTGAGCGTCTGCCTCCTGGTGGTCAGTGTGCATCATAGCAACTGGTCATTCCACTGTTCGTTCTATTTGCATATTAGCCTTTTATTATATAGGAACATGGTGAAGAGCATGGGTTCTGGTGTGTGCCGGGTCAAATCCCAGCCACTTACTTCTTGGGTGTTCTTAGGTTCGTTATAACTTCTCTGGTTTTAGTGTCTTCATCTCTATGGTAGGGATGACAACTAGTGCCTTTCTTAAAGGGTGGTTTTGAGGATTAAAATAATTATACATCTAAAGCATCTCAAATAGTTCTGTCACATGGTGTTCAGAAATTTACACTCTTTTCCTTGCCATGCATGGCAGTAGTTATTCTTCTGCCCCCATTCTCTAGTCCAGCGCCAGGGAACACTCAGCTCTCCTTCCCTTGTTAGACATTGCTCACTCACCCTGGGATTTGCTTCTGAGCCTAGAACACAATATTTGAATCCTTCTCAACATTATAATAGATCCAAATCAGAGCAAAAGATAAAACCTATTCTCCAAGTCAGATTTTTTGTAGAGTTCTTGATTTTATTTCTTGCTTCAATTTGATATGCTGATTACAAACCTGGGTTATTTGTTTGTATTAAGATTCAGAGCATTTTTATTATAAAAAACATAGAAGGGTGTGGCTTCTATAGCCAGAAATAGAGTCTAATTCTAAGACAAGTTTTGCAAGTGAATTTTTACTAACTTGAGTGCCTTTCATTTTATATTCAGAAGAAAATGAGTAAGGCTTCCTATCACAGATACTTTTAAATGTTGAAATGAATGTGCAGAATGAAAGCTAGCACTGTAATGGCAGCTTAGTTTTTGGAAGCTATTATTCACATGATACCATGAATTCTGTAGGATCTTTCCCAGATGTTATAACGGAAGTTTTTAGTGAGGGCTTGGTGTATGGGCAGCTAATACTTCCTTAGTTTTAAAAGAAGAATTAAAGCCAAAACCGGTTTGGCTCAGTGGATAGAGTGTCGGCCTGCAGACTGAAAGGTCCCAGGTTCGATTCCGGTCAAGGGCATGTACCTGGGTTGCGGGCATATCCCCAGTAGGAGATGTGCAGGAGGCAGCTGATTGATGTTTCTCTCTCATCGATGTTTCTAACTCTCTATCTCTCTCCCTTCCTCTCTGTAAAAAATCAATAAAATATATTTAAAAAAGAAGAATTAAAACAATATTACAAGTCCTTACCACGTACCAAACATTGACCTAAGTGCTTTATATTTACTACTTAAAATAGCCCTATTAGGTAGCATGATTATTCCCATTTTACAGGAGAGGAAACTGAGGCATAAAGAGGTTAAGCAACCCCTCAGGTTTGTACAGAGGTAGAGAGCTGAGACTCAAACCTAGGAAGGCTGATAGACAGGTGGGCAACCTTAACACCTAATTATGCTGCTGCCTACAAGATGAAAGTACTAACTTATAGAAGTCTTCAGTGCCAGGCTAAGGGATTTTATGTTGATTTGGCAAAAAGTGAAAGCCAGGGAAGGTTTTCCTGAGGGGCGGGTAACACAGTGAGAGCTGGGCTTTTGGGATCTTCTGCCAGGTGCAGCGTGCGGGCTGGCTTAAAGGGAAGAGAGATTAGAGGTGATTGCTAGTAGCTGAAAAGCAATGAGAACTTGGGTTTGGGAAACAGGGTTAAGATAAGAGCTTGAGGACACCTGTATTAGGTTGTGCTGAGGAGGAAGAGGAGACCTAGAAACACAGGCAGAGACGCTGGAGGGGTGAGACCCAGGCCGTGCAGTGCCAGGAGAGGGAGGCGCTTCAGGAATGGAAAACCACGGAGCTCAGAGAGGACTGGCATGAGACACAAATTAGCGGGTTGTTATTGCGCAGCCAGGATGAGGCAGGCATCGCCCTGGAGGAGGATCCACAGAAAAATGTTCTCCTGTGCTGCTGACACCGCTGCTTCTAAGTGAGGTAACCTTTGGCAAGTTTAACTTCTTTCTAAAGCTTGGCTGCCTGTTCTGGACTATGGTGACTTAAGAAAGACCTTACTCGGTTTAAATGGCCTGAGCCCTTGCCGTCTTTCCAGCTCTGGGATCTGTAATTCTGGGGTCCACATTGTGAACAGCAGTCGTTGGAAATGTTGGTGTCAAGGTGTGGCTGGTGGTTTGGCTGGCACTTCTAGGCAAGTCAGAAGGCGATGCAGAGTGAAGCGTGTCCTGCAGGCATAATCTGAGAGGGGTCCTATACAGGGGTGGGCAAAAGTAGGCCTACAGTTGAAACACAGAGTTTATGCTTGTATTCTTATTAATTAGTATTGTTTCCATATGAGCAACTATAAGCCTCATGTTGCCCACCTCTGAGTTTCCTCTCAAAAATAACCAGTAGTGTCACAGCGATACCGGTCGTAAATGGGAGGATACGACTGAAAACAATACAGAAATGAAAATGACTAGAGAATTTACAGAGAAAACTCAAACAGCCCCTACATGGTGAAAGTGACTTTTCTGAGAGTCTCACTAGTGTCTCCCAAGAAAATTCTGTTGATTGGACATTTTAAAAGGTCAAGCCCAAAGGACTTTTAAAAAAGATAGCATGGCATTTAGAACAATCTTCCAGTTCTTCTAAAAACTATTTCTGGTGAAGCCCTGATCCTCTCAGTGGCACATAATTCCTTTCCCCTCGGACTCCAGCGGAGGTCCTCAAACATACCCATCACCTGGGGATCTCCTTAAAATGCAGGTTTGACTCAGCAGATGAAAGGGTGGAGTTGAGATTCTCTTGTCTATCAAGCTCCCAGGTGATGCCCCTGTTGCTGGTCAATGGACCACACTTGGAGTAGCAGGGTCTGCAATATTTAGCTTTTCTTCTCACAACATAATCATACTCAGTCTGAAACAGTGTAACTTGGCTCCCTCACCAGACTGAACTCTGTTCCCCATATCCTGAAGTAGAAGAGTACGCGTGCATAATGAGGGCTAGATATCAATAGATATTAATAGATTGATCATTTCTGTCCTCTGTCAGGGGTTTGTGGTTTTTCAATGATATCGATAATTTGAATTGTTGTAGGTAGGGGCTTTTTCCTTTTAACTGAGAGATTGAAGCAAATCTGTTGTTTAGAAATAGGCATCAGAATGCAATCTAAAATTTTCATATAAACTTAGACATACATTTACTCTATGACCCATGAAGACATATGCCCACCAAAAGACTTGTGCTAAAATGGTCAATGTAGCTTTATTTACAGCAACCAAAAACTGGGAAAAAAAAAATGTCTATTAGCTGGTGAATTGATAATTATGGTATAGCCACACAATGAACTATTCCTTAGCAATAAAAAGGAATGAATTCCTGGTAGAAGCAACACCGTGGACATTTTTTCCAATTATACTATTGAAATAAGCCAGAAATAAGAACATTTATATGAACTTTTAGAAAAAGCAAAAAACTACAGTGATAAACCAATCAAGAGACAGAAACTGGGGAAGGGAGCTGACTACAAAGAGGAACTTTTGGGGTTGATGGAAATGTTTAGTATGATTTTGGTGGTTGTTACATGATCATATGCATTTGTCAAAACTCATCAGATTGTACACTTAAAAGTGGATAATTTTATTATAGAAATTTTTTATCTCAGTAAACTTAATTGAAAAAAAATGGCCATAATCATTAACTTGTTAAGAATACCTAATATTCCTTGGAGGCTATCTTATTAGTGGGAAATTAATATTAGGAAATAGAGACAGTGTCCCCTCTGGGAGAAAATATGAAGAAACTGTAGGAACATAAGAAGTTCCCTTAAAAACTTCTTTGTGTGAAAATCTAAATAAAATTGATAATTTTCTAAAAAAACAAACAAAACAAAAAACCACTTATTTGTGTATTTTCAGTGTAGCTGAATCTAAAGGGAGAAATCTTGAAAACAGGAACTTCACTTTATTTTTAGCATCCAGAATAGTATGCTATTAGTTGAATGATTTGAGTGTGTCCCGCTGTGCTACTAAAAAAAAAAAAAAAAAAAAAAAAAATTCTGTTGAAACATCATTTTTCTTTTCTTTCTTTTTTTTGTATTCTTTGCAGTGAGCACATCCAACTTTCAGGGGAAGATTCAGTCATCTGCTTTGACAGTGACAGCATAGCTTTAATTAGATGGACATATCTGTCTATGAAAGTCTAGTAAAAGCACTGGCTTTCTTCAAACACTGAAAGAGAAGGTATATGTATATGTGTATAGATTATAGAAACTAGCTGCTTATCATGGTATTAACAGAATTGGGGGAAGAGGAGAGAAAATAAGTTAATTATATATGTTTTTCTGCCTTGCAGAAAGAAAAATAACAATGTATTTAGAAACCACTTAGAATGTGTACAGTTGGTCCAATTTGTTGATATTATACAAATAAGGGTTTTTTTGGTGGGGGAGGGGCACATAAATCAACTTATAATTTTATATTAATTTATATTAATTTTGTATTAATTTAAAATTTCTCCCCCTTAATTTTTATAAAATAGCAGTAGCTCAACACCCCATATTTAAATTTAGCTTTTTCAGTAATATCGCATATTACTTAATTTTATATATGCTATTTTATTCTTCATATATGCCCTATTGAGCATTTTTAGGTCCTTCTAGCAAAATCCTGTCAACTAGACTAGCGATTCACTACTGATTCTCTTTAATTGTGAAATGAAGAGTTTTTCATATTATAATGTGTCTAAGTAAGTGTATTTTAATAAATGCATACATTTAATGCATATCCTCTTGCTTTACTTTAAAAAGTTATTAAGTAAATATATTACATTCATGATGTCATAGTTTAAAAATATAGTAATTATCATTTCCTACAGTGTACAATTGAAAAAAACAACAACACAACCCAGACAGATCTGAGTTTGAATTCTGGCCACTGCTCTGGGAATTGAGCATCTTCAGCCCAGGGGGAGGGTAGTATCCCTGCTGCATCATTGTGTGTGCGAAGGGCTTAGTGTGGTGCTAGGCATTTAGGAAGCACTTAGTGAGCTGTGCCACTATTCACAGGATCACCAACACCAGAGGGTGAGGGTCCTTGGTATGGAAATGAGGTCATGGACACATTTGGGCCATCCAATTGGTAATAAGGACTACACTTAAAAGAGGTGGTAAATGAGTTGAGGAGAACTGAGGCCTTTACGTCTGTCACGGTGGGCCCTTTGTGTCTCTGTAAGGCTTGTCTGTATGAAGATGGCTAGGTCTGGGGGGCTTCGGGCACCCATAGGGCTGGGCCAGAATCTAGACATTAATGCACAGCTAGAGCTGGAGCGAATGCTCCCATGGGCATGTGATTGCAGAGACTAGTCATAAACCGAGTAATAAATACAAGGAGGAAGGAGGGCAGGATATAAGATCTGTTGGCCAAATTCTGACAGTCTTGGGGAGAGGTCATTGTGAGCTGAGGATGGTGGAGACCTGAATGGAGAAGGGCCTCTCCCAGGGATGGATGGACACAGGCTGTCAGCAGGGCCACCTGGTAAGGTTGTGGAGATGAGCTGTGAACAGGGGCACCTGGCTAAGGGGAAAGTTATGGCTGAAACCCTGCCCATGCCAAGATAATGTGGCCATGGGGCTATGTGAAGACAGAGGGCATGTCCTTTTCTAATGTGCACAACTTTGCAAGTTGTTGGGTATTCCTGTTGAGCAGCAGTGCATTGGGTGTGAGAGGAGACAGCATCAGGAGAGCAGGATATCTGTCACCAAGGAAGCAGAGAGCATATGAGGATAGAATGGATGAAGAAATGGTTTGGGATCCCACTTGCTAACAAATCTGAAGTTCAGCTGCAGAGCTGCTGGGTGGCTGAAGGAGAAGAATGCAGACATTGAAGAACGAGGCTCTAGGTCAGGGGCCTGGACAACCCAGGTCCAGAGGATATGTCCAAAGTCAGCGTGGAGTCAGCGGGAATCTGACCAACCAGGTGAGCAGCTACTTGAGGGCTCCTCGGGCTCCCTTTTCTTGGGCCAGAGTCAGTCCCAGAGTGGAAAGTGGGGCTGAGACTACATGTGGGCATCAGGAAGCACCCGCAGCCAGGTCTAGAGGAAACTGGCACAGAGAGGCCAGGCAGGCGGGTCTGTGTGTTACATGCTCAGCTTTGTGAAGAGTGAAATTGAGGGCTTTTATTCCTTGGTGTTGTGTGATATTGAGATGCCCACAGGGTTTCTGTCCTTGGTGAATAGAACAATGCTTCCAGAATTATTGCTGAATATACCTTTTTTCCTAGTAGGTTGTTGGAAGTAGCATTAGGAGAGCCTAAAAATAAAAATATAGTCATTTTCAAGTGACATTTTATAGGTTCTTTTTGTTTGTTTGTTTTTATAAGTAATGCTCTCATGGTTGCTCTGGGACTCGGGAGTATGCATGGCATGAACCGAGCACCCTCTAATTTGATTCTTATGCATACTACAGTTTGAGAACCACTGCTCTAGGACATTCAACAGAACCATGGAGAAAAGAAAATTAATGGATTTACTAAAATCCAGAGGAATGGGATTAGGAAAAACAAGGTTGGGAGTAATACGGTTTTATTTTAGCACAGTTTCTGACTATAAGCTTTCCATTTCACCAACCCCTGGAATTGATACTGCTCAAGGAGCTGGTGCGATAGACGGATTAGAGAGACATTCTGTGATGTCAGTCTGGTATCAGAAGGATGTGCCTGTGTGCATTTGTAAAAAAAAGCTCACATCGAGAAGGAAGCATGGCTCTGGTCTGGGAAATAAGGGTTTGAGTCCTGGTTCCGCTGCTTATCAGCTCAGAAAAGTGACTGCTGCTCTCAGAGCTTCAGTTTCCTCATCTGTACATGAGAGTTGTAAGTTGACCACACCCCTCACAAATGTGAGGGTTACATGAGATAATATGCCCCAAGCACTTATCACAGGCTTGGCACATGCTAAGCACTCATATATCTTAAGATTCTCATCAGCCATTATTCATGGGGCATTTTCCAAATGTGAAGCATTTGGGGTAAAAAAATTAATACAGAGCATCTAGTTATAGTATCTGCAACTATCTCCAACAACGTCTACTTGTCTTCCATGTGGCAGGCATTGTTAGAAGCGCTGGAAACAAAATGATAGACAAGACAGACAGTCCTGCTCTCGGAGCGTTCAGTCCAGTGGGATAACCACTCTACTATCTGCTGTGGTCTCTGTATCTGAGTAAATCCTTTTTCCCTCCCTGGTTCTTTCCCTCCAGGCTCTCATGTCCCAGAGCAGTGATTCTCACACTTGAGCAGGCATAAGAACCGGATTGGAAGGTGCTTGTTTCGAAGCACTTACCTGAGGGGATTCAGATCAAGTAGGGAATGTTGACCAGCCCAGCTGGTGCTGACTCCGGCACCTGCCAGGTCAGTTTGGAGAACGTTGCCCGGGGGCCACTTCCCTTTCGCCAATATCTGAATTTGCTCTTTTGGAACCCTAGCCGCCAGCGGAGCACTGTCAGGAAGTTATAGATTAGAATTCTCTTTTGAGTTCCCCTGCTGCCTTTTATTTTGAGAGACAGGACGGCACCAGGAATAGAACCGTGAGCACAAGTGGTCAGACTGTCAGTCTATTTCTGTCTCCCAGACTGTGTGACCTGGGTCAGCTCACTTCAGAAACTTTCAGTTCCCTCACGCGTTAAAGTCGTGCCCGCACACCCACTTACCAAGCTTGTTTTGATCCTCAAGTGAAGTGGACATACAAGTGTTTTAAAGCTCTGCACAAACTAAAATATACTTTTATTTTTAAAGAGACGGAAAAACTGTTGCTAGGATTGAGCTCACTTTTGCAGATGTAGGTTGTTCATATATTGGATTAAATACAATTTAAGAAATAAACGTTTGATCTCTGCCAATAGTAAGTCCTGCTCTCCCTTGAGACCCTCTAGTCATACTTCAGATGAACAATTGCTTCTATGATATAAACTGCAAAGGGTGTCTTAGAGAACCTGGGCTTAAGAGCAGCTGCAGCCAAGAAGCTGGCGTCTGTCCTGTTTAGTGTCAAGAACTGGAAAACCTGCTTGTTTTGGTAAATGAAGCTATATTGAAGGACCTTATAATTTTTTTAAAAAGATTTTTAATTGATTTTAAGGGAGAGAAGATGAGAGAGGGAGAGAGAGAGAAACATTGATCAGTGAGAGCAAAACATTGATCGGCTGCCTCCTGCATGCTCCCTACTGGGAATCAAACCCGCAGCCTTTCAAGTGCATGGGATGATGCCCAACCAATTGAGCAACACCAACCGGGGCTATAATTTAAAAACAAAACATAACAGGCATTCTAACTAGTTTTCCTTTGAACACTTTTGCTCAAAGGAAAATGGTCCTCCCATTTATAAAATATGATTAGAGAATGTGTTTATTTCTGGAAGATATTTCCTGTGAGCAAACAGGAACTATAGTTTATCACAGGGATATCCTGGCTGGTCCAAGTCTGTTTTGCAACTTGAATATGGATGCTTTGAATTGTCTGTGAAATACAAGAGAGTGGCTAAGCTTCCTAAATGTTCTCAGGTGGCGTTTGCAGCAGCTCCCCAAAGACCAGGCGCATTTTACTTTCTGGAAAAAAAACTCAAAAAACATTCTCTCGTACTTCTTTGTTTACAACTAAACCACATTTGTGAATGAAAATGTTGGTTACCCATACTTCTGTGCTCTGTGAAATAATACATAAATTTCCCCAAATCTGTGTTTTGGGTGACAGATAAGCACATTGAAATGTAAATACTGAACTTTTCCTCTATGTTATATGCTATCTTATTTAGATGTAAATATGTCTTTAGCCCTGGCTGGTTTGGCTCAGTGGATAGGGCGTCGGCCTGCGACTGAAAGGTCCCGGGTTCGATTCTGGTCAGGGGCATGTACCTTGGTTGAGGGTACAACCCCAGTGGAGGGTGTGGAGGAGGCACCTGATTGATGTTTCTCTCTCATCAATGTTTCTAACTTTCTATCTCTCTCCCTTCCTCCCTGTAAAAAATCAATAAAATATATTTTTTAAAAAATTGCTGATACTGGTGTCATCCTTGTTGGATATTTGCATAAATGATGTTATTCGGGGTGGAGCCTTAAATATTTACTTTGAGTATTTAAGTAGTTGTTTGGTGATTGTTTTGGCCCATGGTAAAATACCTTCCAAGATAGTCTTAAACATATCCTATATTCATATTTGGGCGACACCTCCACAGGCAGGAAAAAAAAAAATTGCATTCAGTCTTTGGGATGAGATAAGCTCCCTGTCCGCACTGACAGTCCTACTTGTCATCATGAAGCGTGGCTCATGACCTCCGGCCAAAGTGCTTCACCACTCTCACCTATACAGTGAGTTGCCTTTTAGGACCGGCTGGAGGTCAGTTCCTTGGCAGTTCTCTGCTCATCCAGCACAAGAGGAGGAAGGAAAGCTAACATTTGTTGCACATGTTAGAAGGGCCCGTGTCTGGGCTGGCTATCTTGTCTGTCTGAGCCACCAGCCACTTCAGTGATATGTCTAGTATCCCAAGCACCTCACTGGCTTGAACTTTGACTCAGATAATCCCAAACCTTAATTCTCTCCATCACTTAGATTTTACTAATGATTTCTCAATAAACAGAACCATGCTTCCCCCCCATACACACACTTAATATTTAATTTATTTCTTGCTTAATACCAAAATAAATTTAAGGTCATTTTAAAAATACCCTATAATACATCAAGATAGCATGCATTACAGAGAG